TATAACTTTACTATAATATTTACTTATTATCGCTGTACAATTGCGCCTACCAAACCCGTAGTGATTGTGCTAGGAGCTGGCTTCTTCTGGCAGTGTAAGATATGATAAAATAATAATAATTTATAAATTATCAAGGATTCATGAGGGAGGGGGGAATGGGTTAGAACGGAAAAAAATGAGTAGTTGATACCAAGGACTGAAGTAGAAAGCAAATATTTTGAGAATGATGAGGGCAACAAATGTACAAATGTGTTTGATAAATGGATGTATATATGGATTGTGATAAGAGTTGCACGAGCCCCCCAATAAAATGATTTTTTTTAAAAATGATATTGTTCCGGGAAAAAAAGGTGCTCCTGGGAAAATTCCATGAACTTCAAAGAACATTAATAGAAATGCTTCCTGTATTCTATTCCACCCTTCATTTCCCCAAATTGAGAAACCACTTATGTTTAATAATCAATACTGTAATTCCAATATTATCACACTAAGAAAATCTTACCTTTCAATTGCCAAGATTTCTATTCCCGAAGCACTGCTGTTTCCATACTTGAAAGTAATTAGCTCAGGATGTTTTTTTTTCGATGTTATTTTAACTACCGAATTGAGTGCTTGTCTAGACTGTATATAAGCTAATCCTTTCCGTGAAAGAATCTCCCTTAAGCAATACATATGTGTCGCAGTAACTAAGAGATGGCTGAGAGAGAGGCAGAAAAAAAAGCATTTTAAAGAAATGCAATTCTGAAGAACTGGTAGTTTCAACAGTCTCATTTATAAAAATGTCTAACTCTAGATAAAATTACTTTTCAATTAAAAAATACTATAAAATAAAAGACTTTAACTTTCTAGTAATTGCATGCAAATTAATATCTTAATAAAGATAATGCTGGAATTTAAAAAAAGCAATGGTGTAATATTTTGGGATTAAAAAATTCACTATATTATAGAAGTCATTAAAATCACAGATTTTTGGTTGATATTACCCTTCAGAATCTTAATAGTATTGTTTATGTTTACAAATAAAAAAATAATGCCTTTTTATTCCCACATTATAAAATTATAAAAAGGTTAAATTTCTCATTTGAAATCACTATTTAGTATTTACTTAATAAAACTGTAGGATCAAACAATCTACATTTGTATACTCCAAAAACCAAACTGCAAGCCATAGTCATTGTTGACTCAGTAGTGACCTTCTAAGACAGGGTAGAACTGCTTCTGTGAGTGTCTAAGATTATAACTTTTTACAAGAATAGAAAGCCCGTTTTTCTCTTGCAGAATGGCATGTGACTTTGAACTGCTGACCTTGTGGATAGCAGCTCAACGTTTAACCTCTATACTACCCACGTTGATAGAGGTTGATATAAAAATGCTACTAGAAACAGGACTAAATGAAAACAACTGCTGAATCATATAAACACTAAGAAGTTACAATAATGCTTATACTAGGGTAACGCAACAGACTACAGTAGGTATCAAATATCAAACACATTTATGCAATATATACACAATAGTTGGACTTCTTTACATGAGTGTTCTATGAGACAAAATCATAATTAGATCCTGAAGGCTAAATAA